GCGCATATATAGATGTCTCTGTCTCTCTCCCCCCTCTCTCTCTCGCTCTCTCTCTCTCTCTCTCTCTCTCTCTCTCTCTCTCTCTCTCTCTTTCTCTCTCTCTCTCTCTCTCTCTCTCTATCGGTCTCTGTCTCTCTGGTAATTGTCCCTTCTCCTACTAAATGGCCCTCTGTCTCTGCCCCCGCCCTCTCTCTCTCTCTCTGCTAATCTGGCCATCTCCCTCTTTTCTAAATTTCTTCTATATTTTTTTCTCTCTGTCTCTGTCTCTAATGCTCGCACGCGTACACAGACTCACTCATATGCTCGCTCACACACGCACTCAGTCTCTGAATGACTCACTCACTTACTCAATCACTCACTCAAGTCAGCCAGTCAGTCAGCCAGTCAGTCAGTCACTCACTCAGTCAGTCACTGAATGACTTACTCACTCTCTCACTAACTCAATCACTTACTCACTAAATGATTCACACACTCTTTCACGCACTCACTCATTCACTCACCCAAGCACCCAAGTGCACAATTCCTAATACCCAATCTCACCCTCTCTCTTGACCCTCGTCCCCGAATCTATCCATATATATAGTTTGTGTACATTTTTAACACATGTAAATATTGTAACATGTAAATATTTCTGTTTTGTTTCAGGGTACACAGAGTGGACACAGAACGTTGCTTTATGGACATGCCGTTCTTCTAAGACACAATCACAGCAACATGGTGCGTAACTTTCGTTAAGGCCAGTACACATGCAGTAAAACTTACTAATTAAACCTTTGTTGGACACACGACATTACGAACCCACTTTATTTACAGTACCTATGGTTGAACTTTTCGTATTCGTAGTCGTAGTAGATGTCTAGGGCCCCACTTTTTGCTGCAGCTGTTTTTTTCGCTAAGACTGTTTAAAGTGTGCAGCTCGCTCTAAAGGGTGTTTGGCAAATAAAAATGTCAGAGTGTAACTGTAAGGATCTTGCTACAGCAGTCTCACGCGGGTACACATGTTGTGGGATTAGCACGCGTGGCGGCTGCCATATAACCATCTTCAACACACTTCGGCCCGTCATTACCGGATCTCCGTTATCCTGTTGTTTGTGAAATATGCGATTATAACTAGCCACAAACACGAGACATATACACATACACACACATATACGAGTGTCTCATTACTGGGGCGGCCGCCGCTTGATGTGAGCAACACTAGTAGCGAATGTCAAAATAGAACAACATTGTCGGAGACGGCGGCGGCTTCCGTGAGTCGCAATCTGTCTAGTCCTCCGCTCTGCTGTCGGCGTGCGCGATGCGGCGCTATCCCCCCATGCGGTTTATAGCTGCTCTGATCGGTTGAATGCAATTTGATAGTTAGCGGCACGCGGCATGTGGCGCGGAAGCGGTTCGCGTTTCATCGCATAGCATCACTCGTGCTCGCACGGAAACCAAGGGATGTGTAGAATGATGATTCGCAAAGCTAACGCCATCCCATGCGCGCATTAACTCGTCATTAATCGCTCAGCTTGCTTGTAATGGTTATCACACGGCCTTTTGACGAGTGGGTATCTTTAATTGTAACGTATCTCTGAGGGAATTTTTTGTATCTCGATTAACTTGTTACACTGTACTCTTACACCGATCTAGGCTATAAATCAAGTCCATGGGTTTGTTAAAAGCAGTTCTTACAGACATTACACAGATACTAGATGGCTCGTAGTTGAGACTGTGACGTGTGTTGTGTGCGTGCGTGTGCGCGCGTTCATGTGTGCGTGCGTGCATGTGCGTGCGTGTGCCTGAGTGTACGCGCGTGTGTGCTTGCATGCGTGCTAGCGTGTGCGTTTAAGCGTATCTGTAGTAACATCTGATAACAATTATTAAACTGTAAGATATTATGAATATAGTGCAATTCTAAAAAGTAAAAGTGAAGCTAAAAATTTACACGTGTGATATATTCTGCAATGAGCTAAAAAGGAGAACCAATATATTAATTCAAACCCTTATTACCATGTCTCTAGCTGTTTCCTGCTCTTGGCAAAATAAAATACATGACTTTCTACCGAGTACCGAGATTGCAGAAATCGCGTGCAGAGAATTAACTGACCACAGAAAGGTAGAGAGATAGGATGAAAAAAGCTTGTCAAAGAATAATTTAATTTAATTTCGTTCCTATTGTATATACACTTTATGCCAAGTCAACAGGGATAATTTGGACCTTATGTCACCTTAAGAAGATTTAGACTAAAACCATGAACATATATGTCTATAGATATAACAAAGTCAAATGTATACGATGATGTATTACTCAGTTAATGATATTGCATGCTTTCATATATGCCTTGTCTACTAAGTGGTTTGGTAACTGTTTCAGTATATTTCGTGTGTTTTTTTCTGCACAATGTCTAGTTTAGATTATTAATTGTGCACTTTTATTTTTTCATAGCCTACTGTATATTACTTCATAATTCAATTAATCATATGTTAATGCAATATGTCTAGTTGGGGTTATTAAATACTTTTTTTTATTTTCGTAGACTGTTAGCCATTTTGATTAATGTTCTCATATTTGTCATGCTTGTCATCTTGCTTACTTTAGTGGGTATGATGAATTTAATATGTTCAGCACTTACCAGTGGTTTTCATTAACGTTTCAGTTTTTGTCATGCCTATCAACACAAACTACAGCTTCCAGTGACAAGTTGGCATTTGATGTAGGCCTGAAGGAGGACAGTCAGGGTATGTATTGCGATTGTAAGAGCATACGTGTATTCGCGTTATTTTTACGTTGCTACCCTATTACGTAATTATATGCTTTTTGTGCGTGTCGTTGCCATTGTTATACCTATGGGTGGAACTTCCTTATAGTTTGCGAGCATTGTAAAGTATGCATATATTAATAATATTTTAGCTAAAATTTCCTCCTACAACCTACACAACATGTTTCACAGTAGACTCATGTTGGTACTTCCTTGACACAGTCATCATGCATACCACATGTTTCAATGATGTTTGTCTTTTAGATCAGAATAACTGCTCTTGTTCTTATAAGAAAATAAATGACATTTTAACACTTGCAGATGCTATAGAATGTGTGAGTGCACATAGTAGGCCATCAAGTGTTATATATATTTCAAGTAAATTATTTCATGTGAAAACCAATATCCTACATCCTTTCCAGTATTTAATAGTTTTTATTTTACTATTATTTCCTTGTATAGGCAAGCTATTGTCGTACTAGAAGATTCACATGAGATTTTTAGAGCATGAAGAGTGAACTAGAGATTCAAGATGTTTATTTTTTGTGCATAAGTCGTGTATATACAGTGTACAGCGGCAAATAGGAAATATACAAGTCATAGTTAATCTAGTTTACAAAGGAAGCACAGGAGTTGGGAAAGAACCCGCAAGTTATCAAAGTCTGCCACCCCTCAAAAGAAAATGTAATACTAAGAGTAGGCAGATGGGTCATTATTATAATATACTTGGTTGCCACAGTGGATGGTGAGCATGGGAAACCGAAAAAACATGACAGCGAAAATGATCAAAACATGTGAACAATAAAACTGAATAAAGGTGAACAAGAAACTAAACAAAAATGAACAAACGGAATGAGCAGAACGAAACAGGCAAAGCTCTAATTTACATCTGTACAAAATAATGTATGGGCAATAGGCGTAATACACAGTAGTTTATACTTAATTATATATATACAGTCTATATATTATATATATATATATATATATACATACACACACGTTTACCTATATAAATAGGCGCAATAGATACAATAGTTATACTATATAAATAGATTGTTACTATCTCTTACATAAAGGGCGAGTCTTTTTGTGTCTGTCTGTCTGTCTATCTTTCCCCCCCCCCCCGTAAGAGGTCACCCCAACATCCATATATATTCTAATCGAGCATGTCGCCACGACTATTTTAGGCCAAAAATTCGAAAAATACATCAAAATAAAGAAATTAAAATTACAATTAATAATCTTTATTATTTTAATAATATCGCGCGGTGGCGCGCTATATACCCTCCTACTGCAATCGAGTGGCTAATTTTTCGCGGTGTTGTTCGCGATTTTACCGGATAATATTAAATTAAATTTTTGTAGCTGTATTGTCGAATGGTCATTGTGGCATTGAAAATTTTCCCCCCTGCGTTCCGCGAATTTCCGCCTTTTTTCCCCGATCCAGAATTGTTTTCACGCGTTTTCCGTTTTTTTTCCGAGTCACGTGCAGCATTCGTAAATCTACCACGGCAATAGGTACATGTCAGCCACAGTTTATCGCATCGTCTACTGCGGCTGGCAGCAAGCTAGACTGGTTACCCAGTAAGCCGTAACGTGGTGTGCAGATGAGCGGGTGTGTGCGACATGTGTGCGTGTGCGACGTGTGTGCGTTGAGCCGCGTGTGTGCGACGTTGTGTGGACGGTGTGCGTGAGCGCGTGTGCAGTCCGACGTGTCGTGCGGAGCGCAGTGTTGCGTGATCGTGTGTGCGTGAGCGGCGTGTTGTGCGTGCCTGGTTGTGCGTTGAGCGCGTGTGTGGTGAAGCGCATGTGTGTGGCGTGTGTGTGCGCGGTGTGTGCGTGAGCAGCGTGTGTGCGAACAGTTGTGTGGCGTGAGCGACGTGTGTGCGAGGTGTTGGCGTGAGTCGGTCATCTGCGACGTGTGTGCGTGAGTCGCGAGTGTGCGCGTGTGTGTGCGTGGGTAGCGTGTGTGCGACGTGTGTGCGTGAGCCGCGTGGTGTGCGAGTGTTGTGTGAACGCGTAATGTGCGACATGTGTGCGTGAGCGCGTGGTTGTGCGTGAGCGCAATGGGTGTGCCTGAGCGCGTGGTGTGTGATGTTGCTGTTGCGTAGCGCGTGTGTGTGATGTGTGTGCGGTGAGCGCGCGCTGTGTGTTGCGACGTGTGTGCGTGAGCGCGGTGTATACGAACGTGTGTGCGTGAGCGCCGTGTATGCCCGTTGAGCGGCATGTGTGCGACGTGTGTGCGTGATCGCGTGTGTGCTGACGTGTGTGCGTGAGCAGCGTGTGTCGCGAGTGTGTGCGTGAGCGCGTGTGTGCGTGAGCACGTGTATGCGTGAGCGCATGTGTGCGGACGTGTGTGGCGTGATGCGCGTGTGTGTGCGAACGTTGTCTGTACATGAGCGCGTTGTGTGCGATGTATTGCTGAGCGCGTGTGTGCGACGTGTGGCGTGAACGCATGTGTGCGTGAGCGCGTGAATCGCGACGTGTCGTGGCGTGAGCGGGCAGTGTGCTGCGACATGTGTGCATCGTTGCGACGTGTATGTGCGATGTGTGCGTGTGTGACGGACGTGTGTGCGTGAGGCGTGTGTGCGCTGAGCGCGTTATGGCTGTGTAGGACGTGTGTCGCGTGAACCGCGTGTGGTGTGCGTGGCGCGTGGTCGTGCGGACTGTGTGACGTGAACGCGTGAACGGCGGTGGCGTGCGCGTGTATTGCGACGTGTGTGCGGTGAGCGCATTGTGTGCGAACGTGGTGCGGCGAAACGTGTGGTGCGGGAGCGCGTGTGTGCGACATGTGTGCAGTGTGCGACGTTTGGTGAGTGAGCGCGTGTGCTGCGACATGTGTGCGTGGTGCGACGTGTGTGCGTGAGCGGCGTTGTGTGCGACATGTGTGCGTTGCGAAGTGTGTACGTGAGGCGGCGTTGTGCGACATGGTGTGCGTGTGCGACGTGTGTGCGTGACGGCATGTGCTGCTGAGCGCGTGTGTGTCGATGTGTGTGCGTGAGCGCGTGTGTGTGAATGTGTGTGCGTGACGCGCGTTGCGCTGCTGTCGGTGTGTGTGGAGCGCGTGTTACGACGTGTGTGCGTGAGCGCGTGATGGTGAGCGCATCGGTGCGAGTGTGTGCGTGAGCGCGTGTGTTGCGACGTGTGTCGGCGTGACGCGCGTGTGTGCGACGTGGTGCCGTGAGCGCCGTGTTTTTGTGCGTGAGCACGTGTATGCGTCGAGGCGGCACTGATGTGCGACGTCGTGTGCGTGCACGCGTGTGTGCGACGTTGTGTACATGACGCGTGTGTGGTGTATGGCGTGAGGCGCGTGTAGGCGACGTGCTGTGCGTGAGCGCATGCTGTGCGTGAGGCGCGTGTATGCGACGTTGTGTGCGTGGCGCGTGTGTGCGACATGTGTGCATGTGCGACCGGTGTGTGCGACTTGTGGTGCGTGTGTGCGACGTGTGTGCGTGAGCGCGTAGTGTGCGTGAGCGCGTGTAGCCGTGTTAGGCACGTGTGTGCGTGGAACTGCGTGGGGTTTTTGTGCGTGAAGCGCGTGTATGCGTGTGTGCGACGTGTGTGCGTGAACGCGTGTGTGCGTGAGCGCGTGTATGCGACGTGTGTGCGTGGAGGCAACTGTGTGCGACGTTGTGGCGTGTGCGAGTGTGTGCGTGAGCGCAGTGTGTTCGACAATGTGTGCGTGTGCGACGTAGTGTGCGTGAGCGCGTGTGTGCGCAGCATGTGTGCGTTGTGCGACGCGTGTGGTGCGTGAGCGGTGTGTGGCGACATGTTGGTGTGCGACGTGGTGCGTGACGCGCGTGCTGTGCGACAATGTGTGCGTGTGCGACGCCGTGGTGCGTGAGCGCGTGTGTGGCGACGTGTGTTGCGTGAGCGCGTGTCGTGCGACGTGTGTGCGTTTGAACGCGTGTGTCGACGTGGTGTGTGCGTGGCACGTCATTTGCTGAGCGGTGTGGTGAGGGGGGTGAGCGCATGTGTGTGACGTGGTGTGCGTGCGCGCGCTGTGCGTGAAGCGCGTGTGTGGTTGAGCGCGTGTGTGCGTGAGGCAATAGTGCTGCTGACGTGTGTGCGTGAGCGCATGTGTGTGAACGTTGTGTGCGTGCGCGCGGTGTGTGTGACGTGTGTGCGGAGGCGCGTGTGTGCGACGTGGAGCGTTCAATCACCGCAAAGCGCGCAGCGAAAAATCTAAAATAGATGTTATTAATTAGTTGTTTTTGAACGTTATAAATACTGTAACCAAGTCTTAAGTCATACATTATATTTTTTCTTTCCCACTTCTTCTTTTTTTGGGAGGGCTTTTTGGTTTGTGCCCCCCATCCCCCACACTTTGGATTGGAGGGCGGCCGCCCCCCCCTGCCCCCGCTTCCGGCGCCTCTGGACATCCTTGATTCTGACAACCAAAAGTTAAAAACATCTCACCTCACCGTGGATACCCCCCCGCCCCCGCTTCGGGCGTTTTCAAGTATGTTTTCTTTACCGGTTATTTTCAATGTCTAACTTTGTCGAATTATCAGCGACAATAAAGAATTATTAGCTTCGGAAGGAGACACCGAAGCGGTCGTAGGACGATACCATATAGGTATAAATGCTGAACTTTTTCCGCATGCACTGAGTGTTTCGTATTCATCTCCTACAGTACATAAATCGCCGGATCTATCTGTCTGTCTGTCTTCTCGAGACCCGTAAGAGGTGACCCGTCAGGTCTATTCTCAATCAACATGACGCGACGACCATTTTAGGCCAAAAACAATTTGCACAAAATGGCCAAAATAAGGGAAAAAACAACAACAACAGATTTCCCCCAAAAAAATACTAGCGCAGCAGAAAAGTTAACAGCAATCCTACCACTAGATTATACAGTGCAGCAGAAAAGTCAAGACAAATCCTAGCGCAGCAGAAAACTCAACAGCAATCCTAGCGCTCGACTATAGTCAAGCTCAAAATTAGGCAATTGCATGAAAAGCCGAAACGGAAGCGATCGTCTTTCGGCAGTTCAACTGCAAGGGCAAAGAAACTGGCCCATCAAACAGCACGCTCTGCAGAGAATGCCGAACAGCGCGAACTCCGCCAAACAAGTGATGCCGCAACCCACCAGAGGTCACGTGCACAGGAGAGTGCAGAACAGCGAGAACTCCGTCAAAGAAGCGATGCCGCAACCCACCAGAGGTCACGTGCAGAGGCAAGGAGGGTTGAGCCATGAAATGTTGTTGTCAGTATGTTGCTTGGCCCTCCTTGCCTCTTCACGTGACCTCTTGTCGGTTGCGGAATCGCTTCTTTGACGGAGTTCTCGCTGTTCTGCACTCTCCTGTGCACGTGACCTCTGGCGCAGCGTTCTCCTACGACATCAACAAAGACTACACCTCCAACCCAAAGGTCTCCATTGGCAGGATGGACAACATCTGCAGACACTGCTCTGCCAAGAAGTGGCCAGGGGAAGCTCCAGGCATGTGCTGCACAGGAGGCAAAGTAAAGCTGGAGGCCCTCCAAATGCCACCACAGATCCTCAGGCAGCTGCTCTCACAAGACAGCCCACGTGCCAAGCACTTCAGGGACAACATCTGGAAGTACAACGCGGCACTTCTTGGTTCTCTGAAGATGGCAACACCAAGAATGTTGTGTACCAAGAAGCGCTGCAGAACTGAACACAAGTGAAATTCTTGGGACAGATTTATAAAATCAGAATAACGTCAGTACAGCCGTCATGGCAGATTAAATTCTAGCTTTTTTCTCCTTTATCCCGGGCATCGCCGGGTAGCCCAGCTAGTTATTACTATAAATAGATACAATAGTTGCATTGACAGATAATATACAACATGTTAGAGCTGTGTGGCAACAGAGCTGCAAAATGCACATATATACAGTATGAGAAACAGCAAAAACATGACAGAGAGAGAGTGAACAAAATGATCAAAACAAAATGAACAAGAAATTTGAACAAAGGTAAACAAAAAAACAAACAAACAAACAAACTGTGTAGCAACAAACAAAGCTGCAAAATGCACATATATAGACTGTTGAACACATGCAGAAACATATTACACAGTAATATAGTTACATGGACAGTAATCATACAACAGAATAGAATCGTGAGCAAAACATAACTGAAAAACACATCTGTACACAATTTTATAGAGGTATTTAGCGTATTACATGGTAATAGCTAAATTGACATCAAATATACAACAGAATAGAACAGTGCAACCGTTACTTTTGTATTAGGATGTTTCTGTAGGATTGCTTACATTTTGCATAGGGCAAGTTTTTTTTATATGAAGTGGAATCTCTGTCCAGAGCTTCGCACCTACAAATTTTAGTGTCTTATATCCAAAACTAGTCAGGTAATAGGACATAGAAGCTGAAAAAGTATGAACCAGAGAACCAGGTTGTTGTTTAGGGTGCAGCAACTAATCCGTGTACTTACAAAATAAAAAGGAAAACGGCCACCATAATACGTGAGAAGTCGCAGATGCATTTCAAAATAAACAGTCTCAGCCGTGGCTGGCAGGGGAAGGGGGAGTGCAAGCACGTATAAGAATGGCTGCTGTATTTCTTATGCCTGCATTCCAAAGTTTTCACTTTTTACCCGGGCAACATGTAACCTCAACTCAGCTGGGAGTTAACATCTGGCTTTATATGTATGATATATATATATATATATATATATATATAGAATATGTGTAAATTACTTAGTAATTGTATCCATAGTTATTTCACTCAAGACCATGAAAAATACATTTCTTAATTTACATGACAGGTTGCATACTTGACTTCTTCACAATCCACGCTATGGGTGACGATTGAGCGTCAATCTCCGATTGCAAAACCTCCACTCATTGTTTGTTATCACGTTCTGCGCTCAGCAGGCAGTGACTTCTATCCATTGTGTCTATGTACTGTTCTATCCTCATTTCCCGTGCTAGTGAAGCCAAGGTCACATGCCTACCTGCGTGTAATTATTATCGTGAAAAACATGGCAGCGATCAAAATATTTTAATTCCTTCGGTAATTCCATAGTTTCAGTTTTGACTTGCTTTATGTTTTTCAGAGAGTATATTTCAGTCGGTATTGTTCGTCGTGCTTATTGCTTATGGTGCTTAGGTAGTAACGATACTTTTCTCCTGCAACTAGAGCAAGTATTTTGAAAATTACATGCCGGTTGGGAACAGAATAGGTAGCTTTTTTATTGATATCTCCCTTTCTGTTACAATTAAGGATACTTACTTGTCACGGCTATCAGATGGGAAGCCAGTGTTTAAGCATGATTTTCGCTGAAAAGTTTTTGCTGACAAGTTATTGCATATTTATACAATTTGTATTTTGACTTGTAGTGAGAAAAAAACGCACTGTAGGTTGTATCATAGTTTCGTGCCATAGGCACACATAGGCCTACGGAGATTTCCCTATTAGATAGCATAGGTTTTACTGCTAAATTTCAAGTGATGTTATGAGCTGTGCGTGGTGGCAAGTAGATATCAGTAGCAGTGAATGATCGCTTATCGAGCAATGTTGAGAGTTGTTGGCACTAGTGGCCATTTTGCGGTGAACACATATAACGCAGTTGGAATGCTACCAGAAAAACCGCGCTACAATATAACGAAATTCGCGAGGAAGCAGGATTTGTGGCTGCATCTTCATCAACTAGGCATATAACTCAATCCCTCGTCTGGCGTGGAGCTAGAAGCAAGGGAACGTATCGGTGTTCCTATAAACAGACACCGAGTCTGCCCAGCTGGTGACCAGACTACAGACAGTCTCAAAAACTCACTAAGTGGTGGGGGGGTATCTCCGTATTGTCGGGTAAAAATTATGAAAAATTGCCTCGTGTGGATTTCCGACGCGCACGCCTGAAGTAATAAACATAGTGACCTCGGCGTGACATTGACATCTTTAGCTTTCCGCGTCCTGTTTCGCATCTCTATAAAATTGAGGCGCTGTTTGTCAATATCGTCCGAGGATGCCTTTATACACTGTGTGTGCTGGCGCATTTTCACCGATTACCCCCTCGATAATACGCAAAAGCGGCAAAGGCCATGTGATTAATGTTAGTGCATGCAAGATGCCTGCAGCCGGCTTTAGGAATAGCGCGTGCCAGATCTACGTAAGCATCTTCAGCGAATGCAACATGGCTGTCCTGGGTGGGAGGTTTCGGATGCTTGCACATCTTATGAAGGGCAAGAAATCGGAAGTAAAATGTTTATAAGGCCGGCTCCTTGCCTGTTCACAATTTTCCTTACCAAAGCATTATGTTTTAAATCATTCAACATGGCATAGCACCACAGTTAAATATGCCATCTTGGAAGAGGTGATGCCTTGAATGGAGTAGGAACTGTATGTCACCCACCGTAGATCCCTGTACTATAAACAAGGCGTTATATCGTAAGCAAGCCAATATACTCTAGACTAAATAACATTTTACTGTATAGATACTGTGTCGCTGATTCAGTTACAGATAGTGTACCAGTAAGCATTGAATTGCAGCTAAATAGCGAAGTACTACTCTAAGCAAAGCTGATACTTTACATAAAGTGCTGTACGATAAGAAAGTAATTGCCAGACAATATAATTCGTCTCTACTCTTTACACTTTCTGCCTATCAGGTGAGAGTTGCTGGTGGACCATCCATCCAGCATCCAAGCAGCGGTCTGAGGGTGAAAAGGTCCGAGTTGGTGATGATGTCATTCTGGTCAGTGTGGCCACTGAGAGATACTTGGTACGTGTCCGTTTGACTAATCCATAAACGTGCATGTAGAATAGCAGATGATTACTCTTTTTTGCAGCCTTACTTGCTTTGTACGCAGTTACTTCTTAGAGTAGCTACGCTAGTGCAAAACCTTATGAGACCGATTCAAAACACCTAAAATACTGATAGAGGACAACCAGACATATCAGGTGGCAGACAATGTAAACACATAGGCCAATGACTTGAGTGGCCCACCTCGAAGTTGGCAACCTCTAATGAAACCAGCTGTGTGAGTCTCTGTAGATGTTTGGCCCTAGCACCCTAGCAGTTCCACGTTCTAATGAAACCCCTGCTGTATATGACTCAGTAGGTTTCACATCTCTAGCTGTAACAGGCTTCTATTGAAACCCCTGCTGAGTCTTCCACAGTAACCACCTTCTAATTAACACAGTACTATGTAAGACTGAGTACACATCTAGCCTTTCCGACCCCGTTGCATTCGGACATTCCAACTTTTTTTTTACCTCTGTCTTGATGTGGATAGAGTGAGAGCTCTGTCCTCGGTGATGCTACCGGTGTCAGGGAAACGTGACCGAGTGTCTCGCTTCTGCCGTTTCAGCACACGACGAAGACACAGAACAGGGCGGTCGTTATAGCCTCATTCCACCAGACTCTGTGGAGCGTCAGCACAGTATGCTCGGGCAGCATACGAGCAAAGACATTGGGTACGTTGATCGTGCGACGGCGTCTCCTCGTGAAAGCTTTAGGCTATGTTTTCCCCAGGTATAAACTATCTGGTGGTCGACTTGCCATTTCCTGAGAAATTATTTGCACTGGATCACAAAATGGTGTCCTGAATTTATAACAGTTGGTGGAACGTAATTTGCGGCACGTTGTTTGAAACTAGCATTTGATCAATTTAGTTGTAATTAGTTTAGCTGAATATTGAAATGTTATTTATCTGTTAATTTATCTTCATGTAAGAGCACATTAACTGTAAGACATCAGCAACGTGTAGTTATAGCATGAGGCCATCGGAATCTATACAGGTAGCATGGGTTAAAAGACTTCAAGCAAAAGGAGCCATCTAGCAGAGGAATTCTTGGGGAAGAAATCATTATGTTGTGTATTACGTTTGACATTTAAGCGTTTGAACTGAACGATAGCCACAGTCTGTATTTGGTCGTGTTGGGGGTATTCACGATTTGCCCCTGCGACATGTTAGTGTTACTCTCATCAGTTGCTGTTACTGAAGCAATATCAGTAAGTGTCGTAAAAGTGGGAAAAACGAGTGTTCGAAATAAATGCTTGTTTGTGTTGTAATGACTGCACAGGTAGTGTGTTCGGAGCTGACGTGCTGAGATTCTTCAAGAACGTCGACGAATGCCTCACAGTTCCACCAGCAGACTCGGAAACAAAGTGAGTTTATGTCTAATGTCTGGGTATTTGTGCATTTATGAAAATGTTAATTAACGAATGTGTATTTTTGTTTCCCCAAGCGGAGCGCCTCCAAATGGGTGATTGTGATAGCCTTCCAAAGTGCATCTAATAACTAATAACTTAATAACTAACCAATATATAAGAACCAATAACCAACTATACAAATTGAGTAAATGACAGATCCGTGATAGCAACACGTTCTTATAGTAACCCTGCTATGTGAGACAGAGTAGGCCTCAAACCTCGGACAAGTAATTAACCATCTTCTAATAAAACCCCTGTTTAGTAAACATCATACCTCTGGCACTACTTCCTTCATATGACACCTTTTTCCATGTGAGACCAAGTATTTTTTGACCACCGAGAGTGGCCACCTAGTGCAGCCCCTACTATGTGAAAATCAGTAGGCATAATAATAAATCTAATACATAATTATTATACATAATTAAGTTGCTGGTTTTTTTATGGAATCAACCATTTATTCTTTACATTTTGCCGATATACTGACATGCAGTACTGTTATTACCTCCGCCCAACGGAGTTGGATGAGGTTATGTTTTCGCTCTCGTGTGCGTGTGTTCGTGTGTTAGTGTGTTCGTGTGTTCGCGCGATCGATATTAGCACGTCAGCCAGCGAGCCAGTGAGCGTGTACATGTGAGCGAGCAGCAGCAACGAGCGGCTGCTACGGTTGCTGCTGCTACGAGCGAGTGGGCAGCAAGCCAGCAAGCGTGTACATGTGAGCGAGCAGCAGCAACGAGCGGCTGCTACGAGCGAGCGAGCAGCAAGCCAGCAAGCCAGCGTGTACATGTCAGTATGCTGGCGTATATCGTATCTTATTTGTGTGTTCGTGAGTCATATGGCGTATGACGTATGTCGCTGGCGGAGGTATGCACTCTCCGTGAGTGCACTCTGTCTAGTGTTACATATGTATATGTAGTGTGTTCTCTTCTATTGAGGTGACATGGGAACCATGTTTACGAGGCAGGCTGTTTCTGCTGCAGGTCGGTGCTGTATGAGAGTGGTGAGGTAATGAACCAAGCAAGATCGCTGTGGAGACTCGAACTCATCCGAACAAAGTACGTACCGTCGGCTTCACGTGGTAACCACGACAACCGAGAATGGTTGATCGTCGGCTAGCGGTGATAGCGCGACCTCAGTAATCATGAAAATAGGTGGAGCTATGTGTCACAAGGAATTTCTCAATGATGGTTATACTCAAAGGCTGAGAAAGACGTTAAGCTAACTGCTATTGGCACTTCTTCGATAAACTGATGTTTTCTATAAACTCTATATGGTAGATCAGACCACAAAGTTGCTAGGTACTAATAAGGACATGCTAGTATATTGAACCAAAACAATATGCAAGATTCCTCTGAACCTTTCCTCAAGTTACTAGTGAATTTTCCCCAGACTCCCAGTGCATAAACTCTGATAGTCCGGAATTCCTATGAAACACCGAATGGGATTGTGCCATTACAAAGGTTACGAAGATTAGAAAGATTGATTGTATGTGGTTGTGCCAGTGAGGCTTGTCAGCTCATGGTACGCATGTATGAGTGTATGAGAGACTGTGCGGCACTGGTAATCACCGGGCAACCTCGCGTGGAACAGATGTGAGCGTGTTTACTGTCCACAACCGGCCACGACTGACCACCACCGTCCACGACTGACCACGACCGTCCACGACTGACCACGACCGTCCACGACTGACCACGACCGTCCACGACTGACCACGACCGTCCACGACTGACCACGACCGTCCACGACTGACCACGACCGTCCACGACTGACCACGACCGTCCACGACTGACCACGACCGTCCACGACTGTCCATGACCATTCACGACTGACCACGACCGTCCACGACTGTCCATGACCATTCACGACTGACCACGACCGTCCATGACTGTCCACGACCATTCACGACTGACCACGACCGACCACGACTTGACGACTGACCACGACCGACCACGACCGTCCACGACCATTCACGACTGTTGACGACTGACCATGACCGTTCACGACCGACCACGACCGTCCACGACCGTCCACGACCGACCACGACCGTCCACGACTGTTGACGACTGACCACGACCGTCCACGACCGTTCACGACCGACCGTTCACGACCGACCACGACCGTCCATGACTGTCCACGACCGACCACGACCGTCCACGACTGTCCATGACTGTCCACGACCATTCACGACCGACCACGACCGTCCACGACCGTTCACGACCGACCACGACCGTCCGTGACCGTTCACGACTGTCCACGACCGTCCACGACTGTTAACGACTGACCACGACCGTCCACGACCGTCCACGACCGTCCACGACCGTCCACGACTGTTAACGACTGACCACGACTGTCCACGACCGTCCACGACCGTCCACGACCACGACCGTCCACGACCGTCCACGACCGTCCACGAACGTCCACGACCGTCCACGACCGTCCACGACCGTCCACGACTGTTGACGACTGACCACGACCGTCCACGACCGTTCACGACCGACCGTTCACGACCGTCCACGACTGTCCACGACTGTCCACGACCGACCACGACCGTCCACGACCGTCCACGACTGACCACGACCGTCCACGACCGTTCACGACCGACCACGACTGTCCACGACCGTCCACGACCGTTCACGACTGACCACGACCGTTCACGACCGACCACGACAGTCCACGACCATTCACGACTGACCACCATCGTCCACGACTCCACGACCGTTCACGACTGACCACGACCGTCCACGACTGTCCACGACTATTCACGACCGTCCAATGACTGACTACGACTGTCAACGACTGTCAACGACCATCCACAACTGACTACGCCTGTCCGCGACCATCCACTGACCGTGTTTCGCGTTGCGCGTAGGTGGAGCAGTGCGTTCGTCGGCTGGGCCAACCTGTGCCGCATCCGTCACATCACGACGGGCCGCTACCTGTGTGTCAATCAGGACAACCTGCTGAACCTCGTGAGCAGGGACAACGCCGACGTCGAGACGACTGCCTTCTGCCTGCGACAGTTCAAGGTCTGCTGCTACCATCCTCGTTGTCGTTGAATTTGATCGAATACTCGATCATTATCGATTAAATGTTGTAGATTTGTAATTGTTTGTAATCGATTATTTTGTTTCAGTTGTGAATTGGGTTGTCATTATACTAGTCGTGTGAAGCAGCCTCGAATGAAGTGTTATATGCCTGAAATATTTGTTATCAAGTTACACATATCTGTTGTCTATATCGATACATAATGTAGTGTTGAGTTCTTGTCGATTGTTACAAGATTTATGTAATTTGACCATGGCTGGCATAGTGAATTTTCGTGTGAAACTATCGTGTCTATTTTTATGTGGTAAAAAGTACTTGGTAAAAAATTATTGAAGTCAAGTTTGCTAGTAAGTGTTTTGTCTGGCAATACACTTCTGTATACTAAGTCGCAAAGAACCTATGTCTTATGAAGTAGCTATGTGTAAGTGTAGAAGTTGGTGCACATTTTGTAATGATGAGCATACAATCAAGCAGTGAAATAACAAGGCAAACTGCGCAACCACCATGTTGTATCGATTCTCTTCACGCCCCTTCTTCCATTGTCTATAGAATTTTTGACTGTGTGACAAATTTCATACATACGTGAACCTCTTCTTTATTTGTCTGGTCAGGATGACAAGAAGGTTAGCTTGGATGAAAAGGAGGAGGAGGGCATGGGCTCGGCACAGGTCAAGTACTCTGATTCGATGGCGTTCATTCAGCACGTACACACCGGCCTCTGGCTGTCCTATGAGGTACATGATTTATGATTTATTATATTATATATTATAATATATATCAGGAGTCTATCAATAGGAGTCTATCAATCAGGAGTCTATCAATCAGGAGTCTATCAATATTGATAGACTCCTGTATATATTATATATTATATTTTATGATTGTATGGGACTGATGTAGCTGTGCACGTTCTAGTCTGAATGCCTGCGAAGGCTGTTAAAACACATGTAGTTGCAGTTGGTATTAGTAGATATGGTATGTGTGGTGCAGTGGGTGTAGGTATGTAGTGGTGTAAGGTATGGTAGTTGGGTGGATTGGCATTAGGAATGTTAGGTGTGTAGCAGTATAGAGTTTATAGTGGATATTATTAATGGGTGTGTAGTGGATTAGGTATCAAGTTTTGTATGAATGGTAGATATAGTGAGTTGGTGTGTAGTGTTATTGCATGTAGATATGTGGTGCTAATAAATATGCTAGGTATAGTGGGTGGTTGTATAGTGGTATTAGATATTACGCGTGCGCACGTACGTGCGTGCATGCGCTTGTGTAGTGGTATAAAGTTTGATGGGTGTACTAGTATTAGGTGTGGTGGCCGTATAGTGATAGTATGTATAGTAGGTATGATAGGTGTGTGTGTGTAGTGCCATCAGGTACGATGAGAGGTGATGAAGAAGTCTCGCGAACTGCTTCCATAAATGGGAAATTTATAACGCGGGGCGGGAACAACGAGGCATTCCAATAAATCTCGGCTTCCTACGATGCGATTTTCTCAGACGCACCAGACGAAGAAGAAGGGCGTTGGTCGCGTGGAGGAGAAGATAGCGGTCATGCTGGAGGAGGGACACATGGACGATGGCTTCACGGTGGTGATGGCGCAGGAGGAGGAATCTCGCTCGGCGCGCGTCATCCGCAAGTGCTCCTCGATCTTCAACCGACTCGTCAGGTAGCCGTCCTTGATTCCTCGTGATGCACCCTCTCAGGTGTCTGTTAGCCCCTAACCACCAATAGCGTACAATAACCACCATTACTAAGCTGATTGGAGACAGCTTATATTATAACAAGTATATTTCTGACCAACAAAAGGATACTTAGTACTCTAATATCTCATTATATTATAATGAAAACAACAATAATAAATTATGAAAAAAAGTGATGTATATAATATGTATCTGTGAATATATTAGTGTTATTTCAGGCGATGTTTCCTCCACTAATTGACTGACACACTCAGAAAGCAGCTGAAATATTCAGCATCTGCCATTGCACTTGCTCACGCGTTTCACTTTTCTCTAAAGTTGTTTGTTAGCTGCCAGCCAAACGTTTTGCAGCTCTGATTTCTGCGCTGCCTATTTTGGTGTGCTCATACTGTAGCACATGTGCGTGGTAGCTATTCAGTCCAGGTTCGGCGTCGCTGTCGTGGGAAAACAGGCAGTAAAACTATATTAACCACACTTCTGGTTCATTTGTTTTTGTACCTGGCAGTTTCATCCTTCTTGTGACCAAACAGGTTGTGTGAGATCATAATTCAAGGCGTTTTGGCGTTAAATTTGGATGAAATTATATGAATCATGCTCATACACGACCCAAAGTAGCCAGAGTGTTCCAATTTGTTCAATAAACCTGTGGTAAATACTGCATTTGAGGTTTCGGTATGGCTCACTAAGTGAAGAAAGAAATATATATTAACAGCTGTGGTGTATACCGGCTGCTTTTCAAAAAGCGTTATGGGTCAGCACGTGTAATATTCAAATAGTTTAAACTGCACATTAAAACCATACATATTATTTTTATTGTCAAACTAAATTTGGTTTGTTGCTATGGTTACAGGGCTTTGAACTCACTGCAGACTGATGGAGCAGAGAGTGCACTGTGGCACAGGATTAATCTCAATGAAGTTGTCATGTGCCTAGGCGATCTGATTCTGTACTTTGAACAGCCACCAGAAGGCACTGGTGTGTAGCCAACTTTAACACAGTTTAATTTGCTTAATAAAAACAATTTTATAATCGTTGTTGACGATCAGTAATAGTAGATGATGTATCAATGTGGAAGTATTTAAACCATTTCTCAATAATCATATATGTTTGTCTATATATATATATATATAGGCCTATGTAATATTTAATTGTTATTCAGCTGGTACAATCATTATTCAGTTTGTGAGTTATCCTCATCTACTTTAGCATTTCATGTGACCCAACATCTCAATCATCCTGATCAAACGTCCTGCATTGGCCTTTATTATAATCTAATCTCTGAAAATGCTTGACATGATCTACCACTGCTACGTTAGTTAAAGGAACAGTTGTTGTCAATGGTGTGCCTAAGCTCCCTCTTGGTGTTGACTTTTGACCTGACTGATGGTTGCCATGGTTGCAGAACACGAGGAGAAGCAGCAGAAACTGAAGGCACTGAGGAATAGACAGGACCTGTTTCAGGAGGAGGTGAGATCCATATTTACGGTCACTACCTCGAGTGTGTAAACGACTCAGTTATAATTTATAGCAGAAAACATATATATTATCATGTGTATATCCAATGTTATTGCATCCTTACATGATGTGTTATTTCATGAGTATGTCAGATGTTATTATATTTCAGACGTTGGTACACGTATTGATCAGATGTAATTGTAAACTAAATAGGTGCAGGATTTTTTTTTTTAACGAACACTACTAAACATAGTAGGTGAAGCTAAAAACTGTATATGTTATAATCTGAAATTTTGACGTGAGCACATAGTGGATGAGCTGGGGAACCTTGGATATAATGATAGTAGCTTGGCTGGTGGCTGTAGAAGAACAAAAACTGCTCGTGGCTCTCTGCCGTCCATTTCACATCCATAATAACAGTTTTTTGCCCTCAGTAAACTGTAGCCCGACACACGCTGATGCGAAACGTATATTTTTGATTTATTAGCATTGTAAGATGATATTATTCTCTTATCGCTTCTATGCAGTTAAATGCACTCTCAACATCGAGATGAACAGACGGATATAACGTATAACGTATAACATATAACATTGATCATATAACATTTAACATATAACATATAACATTGATCATATAACATTTAACATATAACATATAAAGGATTATCACGATATAACGACGGCATCATTTTCAGGGCATGATAGCTCTGGTCCTCGAGGTCATCGATGAGTTCAGCATGTACCAGAGCCCCAGCTACTTCGCTGCTGTTGCCGGCGAGGAGGCAGGCCAAATGTGGGAGGACATCTCTAGCTCTCTTTATCTGTTGCTCGGTGAGCTAACAGCCTTACTTTACCGCTCACACCTGGGACTCACATCAATTTAATAAATTAGTTCTAATCGTTTTTAATTTGAGGTAAAATCTAATAAGGTTTTTGTTGGCGTAGTAGATCTTTAGAATATTCGCACCAGTTTATCCCACCCCTGATTTATACTGGTGGTCTGTAGCAGTGATATGTTATGCTATTCTCGTCATCATGTTATTTCGTCTAGGAACAGAGTAAGCAGAGAAGAGTATTACATTTCAGCACTGGTTTTATCTGTGCAGCGTTGCTTATGGCTCATTGCTTAGCGGCTTGAATGGTCAAAGTAGTTAATGAAACATGAAACATTTCAAGATGAGACAGGCAATCAATTTAAGTTTTACTTATCTTTCCTCATCTCCTAAGGAAAGAGTGTGAGTTCGTTTTCTGATTTTGTTGCGATGTTTATTTTGACAGCGGCGATGATAAAGGGGAATCATTCCAACTGCGCACAGTTTGCTGATTCTGTCAGACTGGACTGGCTGTTTAACCGTCTGGAAAGTCAACAGGCATCCGAAGGTGAGAGAAAAGTGGAGCATGGTCGTCAAGAATCTTGCCACGAACCTTTTGTGTTGCCTTCATGCACACCATCATGCATGTCCACATGTCATGCACCTATTCTCTGCCTACACTTCCTGCTCACCTACCTACCTACCTACCTACCTACCTACCTACCTACCTACCTACCTACCTACCTACCTACCTACCTACCTACCTACCTACCTACTTACTTACCCATACTTACCTACCTACCTACCTACCCTCACACTATCCGTTCAGTGCCCTCCCCCCTGCCATCCATCTGTACATGGTTTCCTTTTGCCAACCACTTGTACATGTTGTTCATCCTACATATACCTATATATGGTGTCTACATGGCAGCCTGATGTGTTGTCATTCTGGCAATTTTCTTACAGTGTACATGATTCTCTCATACTGTTCATCTACAAGCAACTAATGTATGGTGTCCTTCTGACAGCCATCGATATATATTGCCCACCAATCGATTTATAATTACTAGTGATAAAGCTTCCATGCTGTTAATTGTCGTAATCTGAACGTGATCACACACTTCTATATATATTGCCCACCTATCGATTTACCAGTGATAAAGTTTCCATGCTTTTAATTGGGGTAATCTAAGCGTTATAACACACTTCTATATATATTGCCCACCTATCGATTTGCCAGTGATAAACTTTCCATGCTTTTAATTGTGGTAATCTAAGCATTATCACACACTTCTATATATATTGCCCACCTATCGATTTACCAGTGA